ATTTATCAACACATCTTATCAACAATCCTAATGACATGTTTAATAAGAAGATTGACGCGAGAACACAATTCAATTTTCTAGCAAAAAATGAAGTTACTGGTAAATCTAAATGGCCGAAATATCTACATCATATTCAAACCGTTGGACGAAGTTGATACTTTGTCACATCCAACTTCACATCTGAGACCGCGCAATACTTTTTTTGGCACTTGGTTCTTGCTCACTCAAGTTTTTATAAAACACATGAGCAGCGCGTAATGGTCCCGATATGACTCGGAAGTTGGCGCAAAGCTAGGAAAACGAAAGCCTTTGGATTAGTGACCCACTCTATGAAACAATACACGACATTCATGCCCAAAATTATCATCATGAGTCCTGAAACAAGGAAGTCATACACAGCGAATCGATAGATGTTGGAATTTGTCCGATCCAACAAACGCTTATCATATAAAGGCTGACGAAGAACATGCCTGATTTTGTTAGGAACTGTGATTTTTACACTTGCATACGAAATTCAACCGATACTTCATTGAAAGTATGCGTTTGTATGTGCAGTGAATGTAGTGTATTGAAGTCGTGAAAAAAATACCGTCAACGCTACCTTCATATAGAAGAGAATGATGGTCCATTCTAGAGTTTTGTTGTAGTTAAGCCATTCTGTTGAAATGGCAATGCTGAAAGCATGCAGGAGAAGACCAATGACGCCAAAAAAATTACTGTAACGTAGTCATAGTTGCGGATATTGATTACCGAGTTTTTCATTTTAAGTCAAATAGGTTTAAATTACGACCTAAAAAAGAATCACCTTAAAACTTTCCTTCAAAACTTCGCTTTAACTCGACAAGTCAATCCGGAGTCCAGCTCTAAAATGCTTATCAATGTATTTCATTCTGTTATTGGTTTCTATTTTTGAGTCAGGATCTGAGCTCGAAGGATAGCAATGGCAACAACATATGCGTTTATACACGATGGCACTCTTTTGAAAACATGATATTTTTATTTTGGAGTTTAGCATGCGTATGAAGGTGACGTGCATGGGATTGTTGGCGCACGCTCAAGTTCTTTCGAGGACACAACTTTTGGCTGTTTAGTGGCGTCAGAGCTATGAGTCCATTTACTTAAGGCATTGGACTGCAGCATCAGAGCAGAAAATTTGTTTCTGTGATGACATCAATGCATATCTGGACTACTCTACAAAAGTCCTTGGCTATTGCGCGCTTTCAAGTTGTGTCGAGATGACATGCCATCTCTATGAGCTCAAGATGGAAAGTGGTACAGAGACCAAAGTTTGCGGAACCTTATGTGAACTTGTTGCGGTTCTTCAGGCACTTGAGAAGCTGGTTGATCGTTCACAGCGGGTAGTGTTGCTATTAAAAATTAACGACTTGAACGTATCGATTGTGGAAAATTTTAAGAGCATCAAACTTGTCGAATTTGATAGAAGCTGTTGGGGGTACCCGAAATGTTCCGGGGGAAGAAGACGTCGGCAAAAACAATGCCAGGTCAAAGAAAAAGCAGTCGGTTCTGATGCAACTGTGGTGGCGGCCAAAGAACAAAGGGGATAAATAAAAGGCAAGTGTTTGAAGTGAAATGACTGGTCACAATAAGCTGAGCTGTCCTGATGAAGATGATGGTGCTGAGAAAGGTGCTGTGTTGTTGTTATGAAAAAGTTCTGGCGGATGGCAACTAGAAGCGATGTAATCTCACCATTTTCACCATACAGGAAAGACCTGTTCGACTAAAGTGTAACAGCATCATGCATTGAAGTCTAATTACGTAATGATTGAGAACAAAGTCAGCGCAGTGTCGGGAAAGCTTTCATGGATGTTGGAGAACCTGTGCGAATAGTTTGGAAGGTGGTAAACGATATATGCTGGCAGTCGGTGGTCATCTCTTAAGTGGCGTGGTCGCGTACTTCACGAAAGACAAGATCTTAATCAGCTAGCCGAGATCAGAGCCTCCGCTTTGTGACAGAATTTATGAACAAGAAAGTCAAACTTTTATGTACTTGGTGCACTTTTATAGACCAGCGCACTGATAGAATAAGCCTTGGCGAAGCAGAATTGCGGAAAGTACTAACCGTACGATTGTGCGCTACAAAGGCATGCTAACATTAAATCTGGTGAAATGAGCAGTGAACACCGCAGTGTAAATGATTAACTGGTCTATCAGCATTGAACGATCAAAGATGACGCCATATGTAGTAGGTTTTAAAGGATTCCCAGGAACATATTCCTGTGTGAGCTCACGTCAACAACGCACAAAAAGACAAAGCTGAATCCCACGAGTGTTAAACTTGAAAATCTCGAATCTGCGCAAAGAACACAAAGGGAGGCCAAGTAAGCGGAAGCGCTCGAAAGCAAAGCATGCTTAATTTAGGAATAGAAATCAACCACGACGAGAGTGCTGAAGCTAGTAAGATCAGTCAATTCGCTTACTGGAGATCTCACATGCACTGTGTGTCAAGCGGGACATTACAATTTTGGAGACGCCTTCTGAAATCTGTCAAGAATTTAAAGTGACAGCATTGGCGTGCTTCAATTTTTAGACTTCGATAATTGAAGGCAACACGATTGTATGAAGATGTGTACTAAGAAGAGTCCAGTAACATAATGATTTAAGCATTCAAGAATCCTGATTGCGGAAGCTACATTGGTGACAGGATTTTCGTATCAGTCATGACGGTTAAGAGCGGGAATAGTTCCTGTTTTCGTGCGCAATGCTTAAGAGTATGGGGAAGGCCAGAGATGCATCAGATCTGATAAGACAATAAAGAGGCGATTATAAGCGCGTATATGGCTAATTTTGATACCGGGGTCAAACACGTGGATACCTGGATCCCTTACATATGAGAAAACATTGAAAACAAGCTGGTCCGATTCGATTTTGTTGACACGAAGAATTTACTCAAAGAAGTACTTCACATCTCCAATCCAACATCTTCGGTACGCTTGCTCGCCAGCATATGCACGGATGTTGTAGTGGAGTAAAGCTTGGTCGCAATTGATGGCAATGAGTGAAAAAGTCTATTATGTACCTACTCTTCGTTGTAAGTTTTGGCAATGATACAGTTGTAGTTCGCTCAGTGAAATTTTTCCTGCATTAGCCCTGTCGTATTCTGGTCTACATCAATCATTTTCTTCGAGAGAATTAATTTTTAATCGCCAGGTCAATATTAGTTCGTTTATTATGCGGACACATGTGAATGTTCCGGTAAATATTTGATGGGATGATGATGCTCAATATTGTTGAAGAACGATGTTGAGGCTATATGTATGGTTTACAGGCATGAGACTTACATTTGTTTGTAGACAACTAGGATTGGCCTAGTGGTTAAGGTGTAGTAGCTCCGCTTTCTAAACTGACAATTTTATTCCAAAGCGAGAAATATAGCTTCACGGGGTTCAGGGCTTGCTGTGGTGTCCATAACGCCCCCGCGTTGTTAAATGGTTTACAGACCAGATTGTACATCATCACGGTAAAATGATTTGGCATAAATATGGCAACATTAAGACAAAGACGCATAAACGTATATAATTTTGTCACTAAGATTCACCAACAAACCAACAGGTAAACATTCACAGCCCAGCTTTCTTTCACTATAACATCTGTGTATGCGATCATGAACAATCGTACAGAAAATCTCCTAGGATTGTGACTACCACCACTGGGTGTAACAATGAGGATGACTTTAGCAAGATAGGGTCTTTGGGGCATATCAGGACCGTCAGGCATCGAAATGAATTTGCGGAGGCACGGCTTGTGAACGACGTCAACTCATGAGTCATCATCATCCAAGACGTTAGGATTCAACATCAAACTAAGTTTCGGACGGCCGCGACCGTCGGAACGCTACATGCTTGTTGCAAACACTCGATACTGCACAATTGTGTGACGATGAAACACCGAATTCAAGACTCAATACGGAAATTAATTCTAGTATCGTGGAGCATTCAGACGCATAAGGTACTTTCAGGTCACCAAACAAAGGGAAAGTCAGTTGACGAGTCGCATACAAAGCACGCTCGTGTCTTGACGCGTGGTTTGCTCTCAATGATGTTCGCAACAACGTCTTTTCCAAACGAAGCAGGACCTCTCGTATCAATTTTCACAGACTGTGCGAGATGCGCGAGCTCTTCAGCTTGAGCGAAGAACTCGATTCGCCTGGCATCGTACTTTGCCATAAGTACCGTGCGCAGCTCACTCGACGCATAGTTGACAACAATGTTGTCGAGCACTTGCGCGTCTACACATCCGCACGCATCGCTTACTGCGACCAAGTACAGGTAGTGTTTGGGAGAGGTCCTCTTGGCGTATCTCTTCGCCCTAAACAGTCTCATTGACTGTGGCACAGTGATCGTCGTCTTGAACGTCTGGCGTAGTCGCTCCATAACATGGTCCAGCGTCGGGAGCTGACGCCACCGAGTTCTTACCTGCTTGTTATAGTACCGCTTGGCCGTCCCGCTTAAGTAGTAACCGAGCAAGTCGGTTTTCACATCTTCTGACCAGTCAAAGCCACACGCTGCTTGCGCATACTGGATTCGGCGCATGAATGTCCGACCCGAGTCCAGAAACCCGAATCCCAGAACTCGGTACAGCTCAGCCCCGTCGAAATTGCGGATCGTGAGCCTGCGCTGACGCTCATCCCGTTCACGCATCGCTGGCTGTGCTACCGGCTTCATACGTCGTGCGTAGTTCTGTGTCGCTGCATATTGTGGCGAGTGGAACCGGGTCTGCTGCGGCGCTTCGCCGTGCGGATCACCCCACTCTGACCTTGCATGATGTACTTTTGCCCCATGCGCACTTTGCGCATATGCGCGGCTTCGTCCTTCCCCCTTATATACGAATGAATGGCCTAGCGCGTCGATGTGCATCGGCGTACCCCCTCGGCCGTTGCAAGGACAGAGTGGGACATATCAGACTCAATTGCCCCAAACATACGCTCTCCTCGTCTCGCTTCACTTGCGAGGACTCCATCTGCGTTTTCCTTGCTTGAAGGTCCAGAAGAGTGGCGAGAATCCTTGCCGCGTCGTCGGAGTCACATGGACTCGTAAGCGGTTGAAAAGATGAAACGAGGAGTAGAAGGCAAGTTTGGAGGTGAATATATTTAGGTCCTTTTTTCGCTACTTTTTGCCATCCTTATGCCTTTTCTATGGCGTCATTGGGCGCAATCTTATCGCGTCATCGCGGGCGCAATCTTACAAAATCGCCCCATTGTTCAAGAATTGGATCGCGCAAAAAATGCTTTGAGCCGATCCTATAATACTGGTCACAATGTAATGCTCATGTGGACATTGCAAAGATAGCAGTGAAAGGTGTAGGTGTATCTTTTTCGTCATTGCGAAAAATTCCGAGGGCTTTCCCAGG